GGGAACAGCTAGTACCTTCGAAGATCTGATCACATGAAATCAAATAGCTTAATAAATGAGAAACAAAGTTAACAGACAAACACGACGCAGAAAGATAAAAAGACAATGTAATTTGTGGGGGGATAAAATAACTCACAAGTTATCTAATGGTGGTATCACAGCAGCAGCTAATGACAGTAAAGGAATGTGCTGGAATGCTTCTGCTTCTCCAAAGAAGTTCCTCATTGCATAGCTCGAAATTTTACCAATAACAAGTGGGGCGACAAACATGCCTCTTGAACCAGAAGCAAAGTAAAATCCAGCAATATTATTCTCACAAGAAGCAATGTGCTTAACAAGAGCTGAAGATCTGCAACTCCCAGATTTCAAACCGCGTTGATTACCAGATGATATGTCCCTGCTCGACTTCGAGGTCGACATAGTAGAGAACCAAAACAGAACAGCCCCTGTAAACTTCGACATGCTAATAAAAGCTTCTCGAAATGCGAGACTACCAGGCACATACAATTGTTTAGAATGGAACAAAGAGCTGTCAACAAACGAACTAAACTGCGAAAACAAATGAGCTCCCAAACCACTCGAAACAAAGTTCTCCATTGGAAAAACATCCGGAGACCCACCATCTAAATCCACGAAGAAGAACCAATTATTTGACATAATTTAGACTTCAGCTAAATGCCCAATTCATCAACCTTAACCCTCAACTGAGCAAATTGGGTGGTCAAATTCACCACCCAATTCGAAATAATGCACCTACAAAGAAAAAAGAAAATGACGATCCAGTTAAAACAAACAAAGAAAATAATCAATAAGTAAAAGCACCCAAAGATGAAAAGAATAAAAATCTACAAATCTTAAGTTCAAATAATTGGAAGCCAAGGAAATCAACAACATGTCCGTGAATAAAAATTTCAAAAAAAATGCAACGAAAAACGTACCTGAAATTAAGAGGAAAAAACCATGCGCGTGTTGATCAAGATATTCAAATTGCTGATAAAGGAAGTTAGGGTTCTTCTCAAAATTTTCTCTTTCCTTAAACCTTTTGGATGTGAAAGAGAAGTGAGACTTTGATTTGATCGAGAGAGGAAAGGAATATGCCGGGCGACCTGTTAAGCGAGGAAGATGGAAATCACATTAATATTTTGGAAGGGCAAAACTGGGAAAACGAATTTTCTTATTATTTCTTTATCGTGAACTTTCTGGTGACGCTGACGGCTTTGGCCCCACTGAATCGTAACCAAAAGTTCAAACTGAATTAATTAGCGACGGTTCAGTTATTTTAGCTTTATTTTCAACTAAAACTCGTTTATTTATATAAACAAAATCAAGTATATGTTATTATAGTTTTAAGACTTAATATAAAAATAAGTGGTTTTAATGCTTAATTTTTTTTTTGTTAAAAAAATATTTAATGTTTTCAGTTACTATTTTAGGTGATTAACGTATTTTACATTACATTTTTAAGTGTCTAACGTCAATCACTGTTAAAAATCACTCTTAAGTGACACATGTCATGTTTTGATAATTTTAGGAAATTTAATTTAAAATAAAAAATATAATTTTTAAAAATATTTTTTCAAATCTTCAAAACTTTTAAAAATTTCATTTTAATCCCTTTGTCACTGTTGATCACCACTAGCACCATCAATTAGTCGAACACTCAACAACATGTGGTCGGTCAACCACCCACAACTAAAACCCCATGCTTTTCACAACTGATTGAACGCCCAAAAATAGTTTAATTAAAAATATTTGTTTTAGGGTTTAAAAACTATAAAAATACCTTATATCAGTCGTAATAATCGATCATTTGATCAGATGTGGTGATCGGTTGTAGCAGTCGGTGTTTGACCGTGGCAATTGGTCATGGCAGGAGAGGGGGAGAGGAAAAGCGGGGAGGGAGAAGGGGGAGGGAAGGGGGAGAAACACACATGTGCTAGTTTTTTTAATATAAAATATTTTTAAAAAATTAAAAATATAAAAAATGTGACAAGTGTAACTTAACTGATTATTTAATGACAGTAAATGTCTGGGTACTTAAAATGATAAGAGAGAAAACGTTACGCACCTAAAATAGTAATAGAGAAAATGTTATGCACCTAATTTTAGCGAAAAATCTTTAGGCACTAGAATATTTTTCGAATCATAGTTTAAGTACTAAAATATTTTTAGAGGCATAGTTTAAGCATTTATTTTTATATTAAGTATATTTTTATTTAGGGTAAAGAACGTAAATGGTCTCGATTATAGGATATTATTTTATTAAGTCTTTCGACTATTAAAAGTTACAAAATGGTCACCGACTATTAAAAAATCTATAGGGTATTATTTTATCAAGCCCCTCATCTATTAAAAGTTACAAAATAATTCTTCGACTATTCATGATTTTTCGAGGCATCGTTAAAAAATGAACAATGTTATGAGTTGAACGTTAACTTGTTCAACGTGACATGATAAAATTTGATCCAAAAATCTTAAATGACTATCATATTTTGATCATCACGTTAACGTCCAGATTAAACAACCACTAATTTTTTAATAAAAAAAGATAAGTCTGTAACATAATGAATAGTCGAGTGATCATTCTGTAACTTTTAATATTCGGGGAGCTAATAAATAGTACATGTATTTGGGGACCACTTACGTTCTTTACCCTTTTATTTATATGGTAAAAAAATATACTTTTATAAAAGTTCATATTAAAATATTTACTTTTTGATAGTCAATATCAAGAGAAGAACCTGTATGATACATGAAAAATTTTCTTAATTTAAATAAAGAATAACAAATATAGAACATGGAACTTTAGATATGGACGATATTCGAAAGCAAAAATGAGTACTCTGGTGACGAGAGAGCATTGGTAAAATATAATTGGGTAGATTACACTATCAATATCTAAATTATTGATTTTATTTCGTTTTAGAACTTAATCTTTCTAAAAATTCAAAATCATACTTAAAATTTAGTTTTTATTTCATTTTAGTATTATATTGTTAAAAAGTTTAGTTTTTGTTTCTTTTAATGCCCCGTTCAAAATTTAACGTTAAGTTTTGAAAAAAAAATGAAAGTTTAGGTACTAAAACTGACCAACTAGTTTAAGTACTAAACACATTATGTTTTAACGGCAGGTACTAAAATGAAATGATGACTAAACGTTAAGTATTATTTTTTTAAAAACGTTAAGTTTTTGTATTAAAACATATCAAAATTGATAATTTAGGTACTAAATATATAATTTAACCAATAAAAATTTTGAAAAAAAATACGTATATTAGAGTGGATGGTCAACGTGGATAACGATAATAACTTTGATGACTTCTAATAATTTATCTTTCTGGATTTAGACGAAGAGTCATGAATACGGTGTGTGACATTTTATTAAACATGATAAATACTTGAAAGCAAATATCAGTATTTTAGTACCAATAATCAATTGGTCTAATGTGATGAGATACTAAATCCCTTAAGTAAAGTTAAGAATTCGAATCTTGGTAACTGAGAATAGAGTTAATTGAGTCAGGAGGGTTACCCTTATTTTTACAGTGTCTGGTCTGAATTAATCGATCAATAGATCGGATACAGTCGTAAAATGTATCATAGTATCGAACATAATGCTTTACACATAAGCATTAACACCGAACACGAGTTTAATGCTTGAATTCAAACATAAATAAAGACAAGAGACACTTGGTTTAATTCCAACAAAAAGTAGACCTAATCATCAAAATGTAATTTATTTTTGCCATCAACTCAACAATAAGTAGAATTAGAGATGTATCGTATAGCTCTATTATTTTTTATTATTGTTTTTTATACACTTTCCGTGTATACCATACGGCTCGTTCAGTCGAGGCAATTATTGATGATGCTACCTTCTTTGTTACAGGCTCTTGGAGACCTGGTTGAAAGTATTGTTGGGGCAATTCTGATTGATACGAACCTGAATCTCGACGAAGTCTGGAGAAATTTGAACCACCGTTGTCTCCAATTGTGACCCCGGATAAGCTTGAGCTGCCTCCGCTTCGAGAACTAAACGAGCTATGTGACTCTCTTGGATATTTTATCAAAGCAAAATGTAAACACTTGGGGGAAGTGGTGCATGCCGAGCTTCTATTGCAGCTGGATCATGATTTGTTGGTCGGAGAGGGGTTTGATAGAAGTAGAAAAGTAGCAAAAGGAAAAGCAGCTTCGGATCTGTTGAAGCAACTTGAGGTACACACACATAAAGCCATTAACTTCACAATGATTCTTCACTCCTCAGTTCCCACCTTCCTATGAACAATCATAAGGTTCCTTCGTCTAGTCTGCATTTATGCTTTACTATTGGTGATCATATGCATCTCTAGTCTGCATTTCTGTAGGGGGGCGTTTGATATGTTCGATTCCCTTTTAGGTTTCTGTCTTTTAGATATGCAATCATGTTCATTTTAAGCTTTAGTCATATGGGTATATAGTCATAAATTCATCAGTGCATGTCGTGTGAACTGATTGTTGGCATTCGCATTGGCAATGTTCCTGTTATTCGATGTCAACAGAACAGAGGAATCTCCCATAAGAGAAAGAAACATGATTGTGTGGATTCAAATCAAACCGTTGATGATGAATCGTTAGAACCAACAATCCGTTAGAGGCAAAAGAGAGCAGGAACTCAGTTGCTTGATGATTCGAAGGAAGCATGCGGTGCTACCCTTGCCACCCCAGCCCCGGGTATGTAACATTCGATTGTGAAAAAAAAAGAAACTGATATATTAGCAAATGAGCATACATGTCTTTACATAATGGCATTGTCTAAAGAAATCAAACGGATATATCAGTATAGGGTGCATGATCGATAAATTAGATAGGCTTCAAATGTGAAATTAGTGTCATTGGATTGCTACATTGTTTTGTAAGATTTGAGAAGATTTCTACATTCTCGGTGTGCTCTGGTAGAGCAAAGAAGGATTCAAACATGTCTGTGACATTCTCTTCTCGTTGTTGTTATAGTTTCTGTAACGATAAAGAAAAAGAAAGGAGGACCAAGGAGCACACTTTTCGAGCTTTGGAAGAAACTGCTATGGCCCATGCCTACAATCCAACCAACAGAACATAAATCAAGGTATCTGTCTTATGAATATTCATACAAATCAAGGTAGCTAGTTCTCCAGTGTTTCTAGCCTCATGTTACCCTTTCCTTATGCAGCACTCTAATGGAAATCGGCGAAGGTGCTGAGAGAAGAAAAGGGTTTACCAGCTTTGTGTCGAAAATCACCTTGAATGTCCCGGGATATGACAATATTGAATGCACCGGAGACACAAGAGCTGACAAGAAAAGTTCTATGGACTCTGCAGCATTGTTTATGCTTTACAAGCTTGAACAGCGTGGGAAGATCGCCATCGAGGAAACCTTGGAAGTCTAACTCAAGATGGTCGAGAATGCCATGAAAAGTGATCCCTGTTATCTTTGCTGCCCCGATACTGTGAGTCGCAACAAAATATCCACCTATTTCTCATGTATATGTTGTCCATAGTCCAACATGCCATGCTAATTAAATACCTTCTCTCTTTCTTTATAACTCCCAAACAAATCAATTCGTTTGAAAATCAGGCCTTCACATTCTGCCGTGGCTTCGCTAATATATACCGCTCGAAGCCGGTTGGCATAAACAATTGTAGACGCTGTAATGCAAAACCTGCAAAAATGTAACCCAAAAGAACTACTATTTGAATTTCTTTGCTAAAATTGAAAATGGAAACAGAACTTATATACGAGGTTGATCAATTGAATTGATAATGTAAGTCCATTTATTCATCAAATCAAACCCAAAAGAAACTTCAGTATACAATCCAAAAGGTAAAAGGTATCAAACATTCCTAAGGGAATACATACAAGTGAACAAAAGTGATACCATAGATCTAAATATGCTTGGGTTTCGAAATGAATGGTCCGGAACTGAAATGGCTAAATTACAAAGTGGCAATGTTACATGTTCATATGCATAAAATCCTCAAAATAATTGATAATACTTCCCCCCATCATGTCAAGGAAAAATAGGGTTCCCAATGGTGTAGTATGCTATCAGTCAGTCTTCTTGGAGGCCACTATCTTCCTGGAAACACCAGATTTCAATTTGCGCACCATCGAGAACGCTTCTAGAATGAAAGAATCAATTTCTTGCTCCTTTTTGTCGTACACATAGAAAGCTATGAAGGCGAGCGGAAGTCCTGCAGTAATAAGTTTTTCATTGCAGGGGGGAAATTATAAAGAATAAGCTTATTGAAGGACTGAAATTTCAGATTATTTTATGTAGGACAGGCAACATTTGCTGCCCTAGAGTATTAATAAATATTTTTTCCATGTTCAATTATACAGATACCTTCCCCTTGATATCTGTTTGCAGGTGCCTAAGCATCTTTTCCAGTGTCTATGTGAATGTGAAAGAGAGTGAGAGAAGGGGCGAACCTATGACAAAAATAGTCCGAAAAGATATGGCTCCGAGGAAGCTAAGAAGAAGTAAAGAAAAAACCACCTGTTTCATTGGCAGAGAAAAAGTTAAGCCAAAATGATTACAGCCACCATAATTTTTCACATTAAGAGTGTTTGGCATTTCACAATGAACCACATATAAGAGAAGAGGAAGGTTGGTAGTTTAGGCATATGAGCTCATATAAATTAAGTCTGGTAATAGTAGCATGACAGGCCGATGACTGGCAAAGAAATGGAAGAGAAAAGGAATGTTGGTAGTTTAAGCATATGAGCTCGTGTTTAACAGAGTGAACCTATTGTGTATATATTTACTGATCCCCAACGCAAAGAATTTAGGACCCAGTCAAAGTTTAGTGATCAATCATTCACCATCTAAAAGACTATGAACATGCAACATAAGAGATGAAGTCCAGAGGTGGCATTGTCTTACACAGCTTTTCATGAGGTTCGATCAATTTATAGTATTTTAAGTTAAGAAAACAGAGAGTACAAATCTAGCATATTCGAAAGCACAAAAATACCTTGAAGAGCAGTATCCAATCCTTCCCCTTGCAAAGAGATTTCAAAGCATTAACACCATCATTCCAGGACGAAACCATCAACATAACAATGTTCCTTGATTTCTCTTCTGATAAGTGGAAATTTGATGCCGGAATTTTCTCTACTGTATATCCCAATCTGCATTGTCAGAAAATATCAATTACATCATTTCTTGTGCTCAGCATAGGGAAATTTTGCTTGTTAATCAGGACCCAGAGTACATAAAATCAAGAAAAGTGTCTGATTTGGGGCATACGTTATTTTTTTTTATTTTTCAAGACCAAGATTATGGTAATCTTTTCTTTTTAAGCCAAGTGGTTTGGTATACATACATTATATTCGGTAAACCGCCATGGATGAACAATAAAAATAGTGACAACAGGAGAAGCTTTGAAACTGCGGTAATAATGGTAGCACCCGAAGCAATGAAGTTGCAGTAAATTGCAACCAATGCTAACAGTACTGCCAGTGTCTGCCTTTTATTCTTCCAAAGTAATGTGTCAGCAACTGCAAAAAACCACAGAATGTAAAACATCCACATGACTGAATAAATATATCAATTCCATTATAAGTTTATAACATGGATTATCATCATTATCAGTGTAACAGCCTAAGTACTACATCAGTTGAATAACATATCTACAGATTGATTACAAGAATTGCACAGGCCTTTCTGCACTACCCCAACTGCCTTTTAGCTTTCAACTCACTAAATTCATCTATTTCATGGTCCAAGATTACGGGATAGCCTCATACTGAGTCTTAAATCCTAACCTTTAAAACAATTTAATTTTGACTCTCCAAAATACTAGTAAGAAAAGAGCAGAAAAATGACATGGAGACCTACAACAACACAACAAACAGAAATGTGACTATGTGAGCAATGCTGCAGCACCGTGTTGCGGAGAAAGAGTATGTCATGACTTACGAGGATGTAACCGTAGTATACTGCATTAGACTAATCAAGTTGAATCTATTGGAACTGCCAACCTTATGATTTGTGAGGATGTATCCGCAGTATATTACATATTCAGACATCATAAAAGCAGCAGGAAGAAATAAAAATACCCCTTCCCTGTCCTAGATAGATTGAAGCTTTAGATGGCCCTTCTCTCTTAGGTTGACTTTCAGCTCTCAAATGTGAGAACGACTCAATTGTCTTCTGTAGACCATCCTGCAGCATTATTAAATCACGTTGTCATAAATAAACCACCAATTATTGCACAGACAATAAAAAGCATTAATAAGTCTATGTTGTCCAATACTTCCAGTTTATAACCACATTTGCAGCTGATACAATACACTGAACTTAGGAGTAGAAGAATGAGACTGGTGAAATACATGGACCACCACCAAGATGGAACAATCAACCATGGGGAAAAAATGCTGCAATTATAAAAAAAGAGGAGCTGAAACATGATAGGACCTCAAGTGAGACAATTGGTGTATAGCCAATCCGATCCTTTGCTTTTGAACAATCAAAAGATCTGCTGCAAGATAAAAGTCTAACTCTTGAAGGTGTCAATTGTGGAACCTTCATGCCATATGGGCCTAATAGCCGATATATCCACTCCACCAGATGTGCAATTGGCATTATAATAATGGCAGGAATCTTTATTTTAGGCCTGAAAAGTACAGGAATTCAGAAAGGAGGAACATCCTAGGTATTAGCAGTTTCAAAACCGTTTTTATTTCCTAAATTTTCATCAAAGGGAAATGGATTTGGAAATTAATATAGTACACAGAAACATATTGAGAAAACACATAATCTGCGAAAAGTGCCTTAGTGCACAGCCTCAAAATAAAAATAAAGCAAAATCCACTATAATCACATAGTGCAACAACGATATACGTGCTAATGAGCAGTCTTTTGGCTAATCCGAAATTTTGTAGGATTTGAACGGTTTGGACGAGAAAGAAAGACGCAACAAAAGTTAACAATATCAGGAAGAGTGCTAATCCTGAACAGTCAATCTGGATCTTAAAGGAAGTTACTTACAGCTAGTTTTACAAAGAGACAACATCAACATGATGTTGCCGTTATCTTTAAAAAATGAAGCTAATCTATATAATGAAAATGGAAGAAGAAAAAAATACAGATTATGATGTGGTTTAGGGGAAATCCAGTAGTATATCAGAAGAACCAAGACTGGAAAACAAGTAGAAAGAAGTCAGAACTCAGATTACCTCTGATAGCCAAGACCTTCAAGTATTCGAGAAACAAACTCCCAAAACTTGATTGGCTCCATATTGGTTATAAAATATGCCTGCCAAATTATCATATAACCACTATCAAGCTAGGAATTGACTTTAGGAACAAAACACTGAAACAAATCTATATAAAAAGCATATTATATCTTGAAACACTGAAGCCTCATCTCATTTGATGTCAATTACAGTAAAAAATCTTAAGGTAATTAAAAGAGTACCTGCCCAGCAGCTTTTTCTGCAACTTCTCCTCCAGAAGCTAGAGCTTGTTCAGCGCAAATATGAGCATGAACCACATTTTCGACATAAGTGAAATCGTATACATTGTTGCCATCACCAATTATGAACTAATCAATTGAAATGTAAATGAATAAGAAGACAAATTATCAAACAGACATTAATGAAGAAAACAATTACTACAAGTAACATAACCACCTTGGATTTCCCTGCCCTAGCTGCCGCAACCAAAGATGGAACCAACAACAAATCCCCAGGGCCAAAAATACTGCTGGGACGTATGCAGCAAGTTAGAAGCCCGTCAATCCCATTTGACTTCATGACCAATTCCTCTCCCTCGGCCTTCGTAGCTGAGTATGAATCATTATGCTGGGAAAAAGGGTGAATCAATTGCAACTTGCAAGCAATAAAAAAAAAACATAAACCAAATCCTACTTAAAGAAAGGAAAATAGATTGAAACTAGTACATTAGCCGGATAAGGCAAAGATTCATCCCCATTAAAGATTCCGTGAACCCCATCAAAAACAACACTAGGGGAGCTCGTATAAATAAGCCTTTTCACTTTAAGTTGAATGCAAGCCTCGATAACATTTTTAGTACCTGCAGCAGAGTGTAGTAACAAAAATTATAAAAGCTCAAATAAATTCCGAAACACTAAAACTAGATATATCATACCTAGAACATTAACCGAATGATGAAGCTGATAATTATTGATCGACGAATTAGGAGCCGCCATATGAAAAACAACCTCAACTCCTTCCAAAGCTACATTTCGTTTGAAAAAGAGAGAGAGACAGTTAAATTTGACTATTACCAATAAATCCACCGAAAACTAATTGGCTTTTTTTTAATGGAGACCTTTGAGTACTTGAGCTTTGTGGCGAAGATCAGTTGAAACGTAGTCAGCACGACCGGAGCGTAAAGCATCTCCGAGTAGACCATTCTCCTCGTGCGGTCCGAGATC